ATGGATTTTGATGTTCAGAACACACTACCACTACCTTGATACAACTCCCTGCAGTGTAAAAAGTCCTCAAAGATAGAAAAAAGGCTGCCCACCATCTCCAGGAAAAACAGTGTTAAGTACCATATCTCTGAAACTCCTAAACATCATGGTCACTGATACGGTATTTTCAGACAAAGCCACTGCTAGCTCTTGCTTGTATAGAGTCAAAACATGTGAGTTTGCTGATTTCGAGCTCAGTTGCTTCTGCACACAATAGGTTGACTGGAAACTGGGTTTCCTTATGCATAATTTGACAAAGCATCACAACTGCTTAGAGATGTGTTAATAGCAGACAGCATACAGGTTATCTCTCTTTAAAGCCTCCAGTGAACAACATTCTGCTGTGTTTAGACTTACATTTGTGATTTGTGTGTGTGTCATTTCCCCTAGGGCAACTATACAGGTTAGATCCTAAGCTAACATTACCATACATTGGAGAAAGTGAGGGAAAGCCAAAATTCTGCATTCTTGAGATACAAGTGCTTGATTCATATTCAAAATAACAATACAAAACCGAACAAGAGAATCATTATCACAATTATGAACAAAAAAAACCTCGGATAGTATCTTAAATAAAAAGCCCACAGCACAACAAACCTCTATAGGTAGATTAAAAAAAGCCTCTGTCGTGTGTCATTCAGCAGAATGCTTTAATTTTTAGTTTACTTTTCAAAGTTTCTCTTATCTAGACCTTACTAGATAGTAAGAAAGAGCTCCTGAGCATTGAAGATGCATTAAGTGGGACATAACATTATTCAAACTAACAACATTCTTGGCTGACACAAGAAGGTAACGGCTAGTTCTGGAGGCTGCATTCCTTTCCACACATAATTCCCCAGAACATGGGAAAGGAAATATCTGTGCTGAAGCACAAACCGCTCCCATTACAAAGCCCTCACTGCCATTGATTTTTCTACCCGTCCACAACAAAGCTCCAGCAAAAGCTCCATTTCCAAGAAACATCTCAAAAACAAGTAACCTGCCCTCACTCACATTTTAAAGCAATGAAAATGATCACAGGAAGACACGGAAATATCCAATCACCTTCCTTTCACACTGTAACATGATGGAAAGTAGAGCAATAACAGCAGACTAGCAAGGTCCCAGGCTGCAGCAAGCAAGGGTTTGCTCAAATGCAACAGCCATGGACACAGAAATAAAGAAAAGATGCTACTTACCCTTAGGAGGCCTCAGGCATGCAAGGATCTCCAGCAAAATCCCCTTGCCTCCCCTGCCAACCCTTAAATGAGGTTTGGGAAGGGCTGGATCCTGGCTGCTCCGCTTTTGGTCACTCAGATGCACTGAGCTCCCCTGGGTTGATTCCCTGAGTTGGACCTGTCTTCCCACCAATCACTCAATCACATGGCTCAGCTGTAGCACTTCTGCTACTTCAGCTGTAGCATTTCTGCTACACACTCCAACTCCTGAAACCCCTATATCTCCATCACACCAAGGTGCGCTGAAGGTCAATCAACTGATATAATTTTGCTCATCTGCACTGGAGGAAAGTGACCTTAAGCCAATTTGCAGCAGCTGATGCTCTGGCAGAATAGGGTAGATGATGACAGTGAGGGAAAGGAGGCATCACTCATTTGTGTTCTGTGAGATTTGGGTACTAGCTTCATGTCCGATAGCACCTTACATCAATACATAGGGCAAAACAGGAGAGGGAGGGGTAAAAACAGGGTATAGAAACTGAGAACCACAGAGCTTAGTAAAGCACACAGGAAAAAAGCAAGAGTTCCCACTGTGTGTACGTGTCTTCCTCATGGCTCAAAAGCCTTTGGATGAGTTGCATAGACACACTCTTGAATTGCTAAATCCGTATCATCATTTAGACTATTTTCCTGCTGTGAAAGGATGGGTAAGAATGTCTAGACACTAAGAGGCTGAGCCTATTGATGCCATCAGGATCTGTCCTCATCATGCTGTCAGCTCTATAGAGCACCACAGCTGCACTCTCTGGCTCTCCAGCTGTGCTGTGCAATAGCAAACTGCCTATGTCCCTACCCACAGAAAAGCAGAGCTATTACGTGATGATGAAAAATACTTATTTTTTTGGGAATTCATTTCTCAAACATAATCCAGTGGATCTTCTCCAAAAGCCTCTTAGGCAGTCTATTCAGAAGTGTTTGTATGAAAACCAAAATGATTTAGCAACCTTTAGTCATGTCTCCATTTGCACATATGTATAAGCACATACAAAGCGAGGGAGATTCTGCTTCTCATTTTTCTCATTTCATTGAGAAAACCCAGGGCTGCAGCACTTTGCCTTTTTCTCTCCTAGTATGAATTAACACAGTGGAGAGGGACACCAGATGCAAGTATGTTTGGTATCCTCTTGGCTGGATCTTACAAAGGATGAGTGCAGAACTAGAAGGGAGAGAAAAGGGCTAGGAAAGGGGAGTGCATGGTTCTTGGCATTTGACAGTGCTCTAGAAGGTAGCCATGACACTGAGGGCTTTACTCAGTTCCTCCTTGCTGTCTTTAGCGTAGCAGAACAATGTCAAGTTTCTTAGGAGCTACTTGCTCTTAAGAGTTTCAAGCCCCACAGTAATTTTTTATTATTATATTTATTTTTATTATATGTATCTGATGAAAAAAATCATGCCGCTGTAGCCTCTAGCTGTGTTTATAGGTGTTATTACTTTCTGTAATGAGAAGGAGAAGGAGAACGGGTGCTGCAGCTCTCATAACAAAGGGACATCAAGGATCTGTTGAGTTGCTGTTAGGTCTGGATGCGCAGATCTCGTTCAGATTCACTGCACTATCCAGTAATAAGCTGTCTTTGCAGACATTTCCAATGCAATTAGAATTGTTAGAAAGCCGTTCCTTAACATTGGAACAACACTGCCTGTTGGAGACTTTTCTGACAAAATTCAAACATGGGGAATTTATTTCAACAGCATTTTGATAGCTGGGAAGATTCCAGCCTGTCACGAGAGAAATGGGCGAAATTAGGAATCAAAAAGAAGAAGGCTTAACTTAGCCAAACTCTTCTGAGTTGTTATTTAATCTGGCTTTCTCAGCTGACGGTGCTCAGGTGATGTTTCTTCAGCTAACTCAAGCCAAAGCACAAGGCCAAAGAAAATTTGCATTTGATTTATTTACAGCTGAGAAGACTGAAACTATTGAAGAACAATGCAAACAGCCAGCAGCAAAAAAACGTAGGGGAAGCAATGGAACTCCTGCACTTGAACCTGAAGACCACAGAGTATTTGTAATTAGAATTCAGTTTGTGTTTCTCAAAATTCAGGTCACGAGAGCCAGCGTTTTCTATTTTTCAAGGCCCCTACACTTGTGGCTCAGACAGCCCTCCAATACACAGCCCCAGCTCCAGCTGTTAGAGTTTATTGACTTCAAGTGAGCACAGAGGCAAAGGTTTGAAAGAAGTATGGCTGGTTCCTGCTAAAGGCTGCTATTATGAGCAATACGGTGCTTATTCAGCTCTACCATTACCATTGTTGAATTCAGAAGCCTACATTCTGATCACCATTGACCAATGCCCAATTTCACCCAAACTCTTGCACTGTGACCTGCATAAACGCTATTCACACACCAGCTCATTAGTGATGTAACTCTGCACAAGTAGGCATGGTGCATCAGCGTAACAAAAAGGCTGGATCGTGGGTGACAAGCCTTAGCAGCTGTGGGCCAAAAGCTCTATGCTGTAAAGGACAAAACTGAACCAAATTCGAGGAACTGGTTTTTTTAAAGACTTATTCCTGTAATCTGCATTGGCGTGGTGGAAGAGATTATTCAACACTCTGCCCCCCCATCAATCCAAGCTGGTGTTCCTCCCTACAGTGGGCGCAGGAATTGTGCCCGTTCTTGCCGGTGCAGGGATGAGCTGTGATGCACCAGTATTACCAAGAGAACAAAGATTAGCTATTTCCACCTATTCCTACCATTTCACATGTAGGAAGATATTATTTGCTACATAGAGGGTAATTCCCCTAAAGGACAGCACGGTTAAGTGACAAATTAATTTGCTGCTTACACTCACTAGCTCTTCCAGCTGGCTTAATTCTCATCAGCCACCATAATTTATTAACAGTGAGGTGAGAAAAGACATGAATCAGCTTAATGTGCTATAAGTAGGGCATTGTCATGGCAACAAGATGCGGACTGTTTTCTACTATTTATGTATGGTTTGTATTGTACTCAACCTTAAGATGCTGCTTGAGACAACTAGAATTAGAAACATCTTTTTTTCTCGACTTCTTTTTTCCCTTCAGTGTATCTTTTAAAAAAATTATCAAAATAAGTATGTGAAAGGCTCCAAGGCATCTCTCCAGGAAAACAGCTAGCTATACCCTGCGTAACGAGTCTTCCTAGAAACAGAAGCTTTTACTCTGATCTCACAATCATTTCCTCACATTGTCACACAACCAATTCCACGGATTAACTCCTGGTTTATAGCGGTCTGAGATCAAAACCAGACCTTCCCAGGTCCATACATATGGCTAGGAACTGGGGAAAAATGTAACAGTGTTATTTGAAAAGAAATTGTTTTGTAAAAGTAGTACATTCTATTTAGCGCAAGACATGGGAAAACAATTCAGTATGTTGCATTTATCACGGACTCCTGATGGAGAGGTATGAAGCTGAAAGTACATAATAAACGATTTTTATGGCCTTTCCAACTAAGTCTAAATTCTTTGCACCATTTGCATCAGCAACTAATAGTTTTCATACATGCAGATCTTCATCCAAACATCCCATTATTTACTACCGAGCTGCACAAAGGGAGCAGCTGGAATGTTAACACAGCACGCTGAAAAACAATTACTGATATTACTCTTCTGATTTTTTATTTTTGCACCAACTGCAAATTGCAATCTGACACTAAATAACTAAGGAAAATTGAAATATCTCTAGGATGTCTGGAGGAGAACACAGGGAAAAATGAAATCATTTTCATGGAAAGTCTTGCAATCTTAAAATACAGCTTTGTTCTGAGTAGGGACAAAAAAGGATTGAAAAAGTCACACGGTTTTCTCCATTCAGTACTCATTCATTATTTTAATGTCTGGTTTTATATTACCCAAGGTATTTGTTTGCACAACATGTAGGGCAACAGGCAGCTGGGTTGGACCATGACACAAAAATGTTCACATCTACCAACCTGAGACAAAAGAATAAACAGTATCATTTTGAGCACAAAACTTCTGTCAAGCTACAATTGCATATGTTCCATTAAACACCACTAAATGATATCTGCTGAAGTCAACCATAGCAGCTAGCTAAGCAATGAAAAATCAGGACAGCCTTACCTCGAGGTTCAATGGATTATTCTCCTCAGTGCTGCCAATGGCCCCAAGTGCACACAGGTTGATAGCAGTGAATTAGAATGCTTATGGAGGTCAAGTTGGGAGTCTTGTTTTCAGCACTTCCTTACTCCGTGATCAGTGAGCAGCGGGTAAGTTTGGCCTCACCTGGAAACAGTGGTGTCTTTCTGCAGTAGCTGCTCTGGGCACTATAGCCAGCCCTATGAGCTCTATGTCCTTCACAACTCGCCTCTCCTAGCAATAATGAATAAGCTGTCAGCCATCCAGATACTTAAATGGTATGCCCAGTCCTTCCCTGGATACCTTTTCACTGCTCGAGATCCACCTTGCATTCTTCAAGGTAGCAGTGCCTAATGGACAGATTATGTTGCAGCTGCCTTCTCCCTCAACAGAGGGTGACTATAATTATCTTGGAAAGGACATATTCAGAAGTGGCTTTTGGTCCTTTTTCCTTCCTCATATGTAAGAAGATGGCCTGAATGGTTTCCACCTTCCTGGTACCTAACTGCTCAGAGTCACAGGGTAAGATCCTTACCGGGAGGGAATGCTCATCAGCCCTTAGACAAGACTTCCCTCACCCACACAGTGTATCCTTTCTCGATGTTAGAGAAGTGCTAAGTCCCAAATGACTTTTTTATCCCACTGTTAAAGTGTATGGGCATTGTGTGTCCCAGGCACATCAGGTTGCTACAGGTCTGGGTACAGCTTACAGCTGGAGTGTCTCCTTTGTGCTCATCCTGACTACAGGTAAGTGCACTGAACGAGAGCCCATTACAACGAAACAAAAGGAATACCTGCCCTTGTGCAATCATATGACGTTTTTCTTAAGCAGAAAACAAGGAATATACAGCTGACTCTTTCCAAAGCTAGTCCTTCCATCAAAAATAAATATACATTCTGATACCAAATCCTTCTTTTCAGATTTCAGCTTGTATCTGTAGAGAGCAATAAATAACGTATTACTTATTTGTTGTTTGATCCCAAGTTTTTTTCGCTTCATGATTCTTGTTACTGAAAAACACTGATGCAGGAGTCTACCAAAGGAACAAGACTGGAATATACTTCATTATTTGCATTAGCTCTGGTTGTGTTATTTAGAACTAAATTTTTACCTCAGTGAGAGCATCACTGAAAAAAGCATTCTTCAAGTCACATGTCTCTGCCCAGTTCTGACAAAATGGCAGAGGAAGAGGGAAAACAGTACAGAGCGAAAATAGTACAGAGCTTATGCTTCCCAAGATGGGGAGAAGAAGAATGAAGATCTGGGCTTAGTTTACTTATTGTTGGTAAACAATATATTTAGATCAAATCTTGAGAAGACGTGAGTTTGGGCAGCCCTTTGCAGAAATAGTTGGAGGAACTGCCAGTCCCATAGAAAACAAATAGGAAGTAGGTACCTCCTTCTGAATGTACTGTACCAGCCCATGTCTTAGGAAAAGGGCTTCCCCAAGAGGCAGGCCAAAGTCCTTTATTCAACCCCAGGGTATCCTGAACTCACCTTTCTGCAGCACCTAAATCCTGCCTGGAAAATACTGCTTTTGTTGGCAAAGACTTGTTTTGGGAGGTTTGTCTGAATTCAGGTGATGTGAAGCCGGGGGAGATCCTTGCCCACTGGAGAGCTTGGGCTTCAAAAAGGAGGTTCAGGAGACTGGTGAGGAATCTCCTTGGCAGCTGGAAGGAGTCCCTCTGAGATTGCTTTTAGCTAATGATGCTGGATGTAGGACTAGACAGGTGCAAAAGAGTTAAAACATAGAAGTACTTGAAGATGAAGGATTCACCTTCCTTTACAGCATTCTTTCCATATAATTTAAAAGACAGCAAATCAGTAAAAGCAGGGACTGTTTTGCAAGAAACACAAAAGTCTGCGAGAGATTTAGCATGCAGAGGAAAAGCGCTAGGAACAACTTAATATATAAGGATTTCAAAAAATCTAAAAGGACCATCATGAATGAGAATTGCAAGAAGATGCAAAGAAAACCCGGAGCGGATTTGCAGAAGTTGCTGTGCTAGCTGCTCTGCTACAAAGTTGTGGCATCTGCTATGATGAAGAATATATTTCATGGTAACAAGACATGGAATAGTTGAGTATATTTTTGGAGAAAATGTGATTTTTCTCCCTGAAGCATCTCACAATCCCACCTAAGTCTAGCCCTTGGCCAATACCAAGGAAACACAACCTGCTATTCTGTTTGATACAGGGGAGCATAGACCTCAGACCTGGGGCCAGGTTTCCTTGTTATGCTCATGGGGAAGTAAATTTACTGCATACAATAATGCAACATACATGGCTAATGGGGAAGACAAACCATTTCATAAATCCATAAGAAAATGAGGATTTATTTAGGCAGTATTATTAGAGCTTCTTAAAATATGCTTAAGACTTCACATGTTAACAGTACTCCTCTCAACCCAGCAGGCAACAATGAGAGCTGAGGTGAGTGGCTTTGCTGGCAGCACTCTAGTTTGTGTCTATTTCCTTGGAGAATATCACATTCATTAGAATTGCTTTCTTAACTTACCTCAGTGCTTTCCAAGATAATCATCAAGGACAGAAAGGCCTTCTTCCCACCCTACTAAATGCTCTGAGCCTTGTAAACATTTCTTGGTGCACCCGGAGGGGAGGAGAGGGCGGAAGGAAGGAAGGAAGGAAGGAAGGAAGGAAGGAAGGAAGGAAGGA